AGCCAGATGTTTTTTAATTATTCGAAGCAACTTGCATAATTTATAACTTGCCAAACCTTCAGTATTATTTTAATAATATTAATTATTAAAGCATTAGTTTAATAATGTTTATAATTAATATCATTAGTTTTGGTACTATTTATAATTTATAAAAATTATTATTATTATATTACAATTTAAACATAGTTAAACTCGAACTTGTAGCATTTGAATTTCAATTAAGTGGATGTAAGCATGATATTACAGAAGAAGCAAGCTTTTCTTACATTCGCTCCGATTTTTAATTACCAGAACTCGACTGTGAATGTGTTAGTTATGAATTGTTGTGCGAGAGAGGCCCCCATGAATATTTGAATTATTTGGAAATGAATTATTTTACCGAAATGAAACCTCCAGAGTTCGTTCGTAGCTGAACCGCCGCTTTCCCCGCCGAAAATTAGCATACAGCTAGGAAGCCTGCAGGCTGCGTGCCCGTGGAGAGGTCCTGGTCCTGGCTTGTTCTTCAACAAACACCAAGAGGCGGTGTTCACGTCCCATCGCCAGCAATCGCTTCTTTCTTGCAGGTCGGTCATACCCCCGTAAATGTACATGGCATCACCGTGCAAAACAGCCGAGTGTTTGTGTCTCGCTGCTGGTCCGCTTTCGCTGGAGGAAAGAAGATGCCACGATTCCGTTTCTAAAACGTACATTAACGAACGTGTTGTTCATTCGTCTTCTCGAAACATGTATGGTCGCTAACAGACTGCGGATTTTCATGCATTTATGACGAACTGACGGGTCCAATTCCAGTCGGAGCGAGTTGCAAGTAAATATTTAAAATAGGCTCGAGAGTAAATTGGAAATAAGAAATATAAATTTAAAAGTAAATTCAAGAGTAAATTGAGTGAAAGTGAAAATTTCAGTGGGAAGTAAGAATATACGTACAAAGTGAGACTAAATAAATATTCGCAGTCTGGTGATTAAGAAATCGTGAATTTCTTACCGAAATGAAATGCCCACAATTCTGGTGAGCTTCCACGTAGATCTTGATAACCACCGTAAATGAGCATCTGACCACGATGAACTAAAGCAGTATGACCTCTTCGACCTCTGGGAACGGCACAACCTCGTTGTGCTCTTACTTTCCTCCACATGTTGGTCTAGAAGTAAAAAATTCTCGGCTAATGCAAAACGGGAATCAGGCTTCACATTTTATACTCGTTGAAAACATTGAAGTCTTCAGTTCGTACGGTGATTTATGAAAGTATTCGAAATTTTGTAAATAGGTGCAGAATCCTGAATGAATATTTGATGTGTGTCGCATGAAAGACATTTTGAAATTTCATTAGCATTTTAATGAGACTCGAGTGCCATGATAAAGTTTGAAACGTTCCGTACTGTGGAATATCAATATTATTATAAGAAGCCTCAATTTTCAGTGGAGTATTTTAACACGTTGATTGCCATAGTCGTTAATAACTAGTGGCGTTTCCATTCTTGTGAATTATTTTGAAATTATTAAAATAAAGCGAGTGCTATCGACGGAAGAATTTTAGAATAATACAAGTAACTAGAGAAACATTTTTATTACAAAAATTAAATTCCGTTTTATAGGCAAAACGTGTAAGTTTCTGTAATTAATTACGAGACTGCTGATTTTTATGCACTTATGTAAAATTTCAAAGAAGTTATACTACGCATTGTACGATACTTTGCCAACATTTTATTTTTCTAATTATACACTTACAAATATGAATATTGCATGAAAAATCGCAGTCTGCTAATTATCGTACGCTAGAAGAACTTTAATTTATTGTGTGCTGTTCGTTCATTGTCAGCATTAGACTTTTAGTCCTTCCGTAATTTTAGCAAGCATCAAAGGGTTAATCATTCGAGTCAGGTGACAATGGACGCGAGAATGACGGATATGACTGGGGCTGTACGTAACAAAAGGCACACAAGAGTTCTAATTTGACACTCCCCTATTTTATTCGAGTAGATTCGAGCTGAATATCTCAAGTCTGACGACAGCTTCTTTACTATTGTCGTATTTTAAATTATTCAAATAGACGAGGAAAATTAGTGTATAGAATAGAGAGGAGCATAAAACATCGCTGGCTTGTTAAATGCAGCCATCTATTTTTAATATTTTTACCTTGAAAAAATACTGATGAAAAGATATAGGACATAACGTAACGCACGATTTATTTCCGAAGCAGCACTCTCTCGTATAGTCGTTCTATATTTAATGAAAACATAATCTATGTGTAGGTACTATATTGTACCAATAACGAGAATTTTTCAACATATTTAAATACTAAGGACGTAATTTATATACAAGGGTCAAAATATAATATGTATTTAAATGAGAAATGTGACGAGTTATATTTTCTATGTCTTATAAAGGGACAATATATAACATGTATATTAAAATTATCTTTTCATTTCGAATATCATTAATCCATTAAGAATCAAGCAGACGGTGGATTTTTTATGCAAATTCATATTTCTGAGAATATAATTAAAAAAATAGAACCTCGGAAGAAAATATTTTTGCATATTGTGTATATTCTATGCAATCTTCCATTTAAAAATTTCCAATAAGATCGTAAAAACTCACGGTCGAGATATAATTATTGAGACTTTGCACGTTTATGGAAAATCGTGTTTGCGCAGAAAATAGAGCAAATCTTTGTTATTTTACCTCGTGGATACCATTAACAGATCTCTCGTTGCATTCTTCGTATTTTTGCATATTTAAATTTTTCATCGTTGGAAAAACATCCGCAGATAAATTAAAAAAAGCTGCGGTTAAATTGCGTACGTTTATGCAAGTTCTCATATTTTTTATGATACTTCATATTCCCAACCTCTGTATACGTGTATAAGTGAATGCAGTCATATTTTAAAGATATTTCTCTAAACATCATAAAATTGTAGAACCCAGGTAGAAGAGGTAGTGACCTAAAAGATATTAAACGAGTTTTTTTTTTTTAATTTCTAAAATATTAAAAACATAATCCCACGGTACAAATTAAATTAAAACCTCCCTTATAAAGATTTATTTTAATAAAATTAAAAATTCGAAAATTCTCCACCGATGTCAGTCAAGGGTCGAAATAAAATAAACAAAACAAGTGTACAAAATTGAAAGAAGTTAAATTGAAACAAAAAGTTACTAGACTTGTCGCATAATAGACGAGATATATCATACACGTGAGTAGTTTTTAATGCATACGGGCGATCATAGTGGGTCTTTTGCTGAACTCAGCCAATGTGTACCGCCAAGGAGAAAGAGAAGCAAACGCGTTGGCTTAGCCAAGGGTCTGCGATCAGTGCATGCAAAGGAGAGAAGATGGAAGGAAGGTATATAAGCTATATAGCAAGGGTGCTGAAAGTAATTACGTAACTCCAAGTACGTGCCTAAAGTTGATAGGTCTGTATAGCCACTTGCGTCTACCCTGTATTACCGGCACGAGGGGGTTGCGAAAGGGTGGAATACTAGCTAAATTCGCCATCGACGTTAAAACGCTGTGAAATTAGCGAGAAAACAGTTAGCTATCATCAACGATGCGGACGCGCTTAAAACTTCAAAGAACCGCGCGGTAACACCCCCCCTCCCCTTAGATCTTCGCGTTTTTGGATTTTCCGCTTAGCAACCACGATTTCGTTCGTACGATATTACCACGAATGAGTTATTTCGCGACACATCGTTTCTTTATTACACTTCGAAGAAGAATCAGTGCACGAAAAATTTAACTGTTTCTCCAAAAATCATCTGATGAATGAGTGCGTTGCATAAGAGTTAGTTAACTTTTGTGAAAACTGTGCGTTATTCCATGCTTCGAATTGCATTACATACAAGAGAATCGTTTCTAGAAGCAACATGTTTCAGGGATTGATTTCTCTTCGAATTAGAAGTCTCAATGATTATTGTGTCGCGAGATATCTCGTCTATGGTTGTGATTAAATCGATCGGTTCTCTACGAATTCATGGCAAAAAGAAAAACAGAGAAGAACATTCGGCGGTATAAAATTTCGCTTCCGAGTTCGATTTACCGTGCACCGGGGGAGAATTTTAACGAAGCACACGGGGAGAAAAATGGAGAAGAGCGGAAGAGAAAGAGGATATCGCGAAGCAACCCCTCCGGCTTAACCAATCAGGTTTGCCTGGCTTTCGTAACGCGGATTTCAATAATACATCGCGAAGAGACAAGCAACGGGGGATATCCCTGGTCTCTGGCATGGTCCAATGAGCAAAAACAAAACGGACCAACAGGTAACCATAGTGACGCAACGAAGAAGCCGCGGATTCCGGGGGAAATTTTTTTTCCCTCTTATATTACTTAAAGAATATGCGAGAAAGAAAGTTTAGTTTTCCTTTTATTTTTCGATTTTTCGATGTCACTTGATACATAAACAGAAGCGTTTGGAGAGCATACTGAAAACGAGAAACATGATTTTTTTTAACTTTGACGTCAATTGGTTTGTCAGGCTCAAAGATAATCCTTGAAGATTAGGGGTAATATTCTTGATAGATTACCTATGTGTAATTTAATTCCACAAGATAAGGTGATAAGTCTGTGAAGTTTTGTAAATAATATTTTTCAAATATTGATTAATTTAGAGAACTATACAGATATTGAAGAAATGGCAACGTTCATTGGCAAATTGGAATAGAAAACCACGAATTTTAATTTGTGTCGACACAATTGCTATTTGCGAATTATATTTCCCAAAAACGTTCAAGAGGATTTCAAAGGACCGTATTTCAAAATTAAGTGAAAAATACAAATTTTGAATTTTAAAATTGCTCCCCTGTGAAAGATCTGAGGAATTTATCGTATTTTTCGTCTGCGGCATAATCATGTCTATTTTTTACAAATGCACTGTGGAAAGGACGAGAATTATTAACGCGAAACTGGTACCGAGTTTCATGCGTGTTTATCAATTTTTAATGGTGGTACATGTTGAGGGTAGAGAAACCCTTGGGAGGATAAGCGACATTCAATTTCGAGGGTACGAAATGGAAGGAAGAGCTGTTGACACCAGCTGTTGCCAAAAATTGCTGTAGTCAGATTGCAAGCATCCAACTATTTGCACATGTTTTTGAATATCGAATGTACCTAGTTAAGGATCACACGTCAAACACACATAATAAATCCATTTTTGTTCGCTTTCTAATTTCGATACATACTTGACAGCTAAAGGGGAATATTTCAATATATTTACAAACTTGATACTTGATAGTTTTCATATATTTACGTAATTAAGAGAAATATTTGTTAAATTCAAACGTACAAGCGTTCTAGAAATAGCTGATAAATCGTAGAAGTTTCATATATTGGATAAAAATATAGATATATTCAATATCAAAATCAAGTAAAGAACATACAATTAATTGATAAGTACATTGAATTTTAATACTTTGTATTCGATATAATAAATCGTTTTCAAATTGGATTTAATGAAATATTACAAATATATATATGAACTTGAATTTAACTTAAATTAAATTAACTTAACGGTAATGTTAATTTCATGAAAATTTTCCACTTTTATGAAACATGGGACATGTGATTTATTATGTGCTTCTTCTTTTATCATGTGATCTTCAGTCATATCGATTTTTTTACCATAGTAGTAGGTTAGTCTCTCTTCGGAACAAATATATGGCACGATATGTGCACCGATCGATGAAACTCGATATCTTCAAAAGCTAATGGCGATAGATTGGTTTTGACAGTGATGAATGATGCATGCACGGCAGTCAATCATCACGAGAACAGCAAGATGGCAGAGACATGTGATTGGTGGCGAAACACGTTAAAAAATTTTTAACAATCCAGGAGACATACATACGAAAGATACAAGAAAATGAAAAAAATTTATTTCTGCATGTTCAATTTACTCCTGTGTAGCAATATAACTGCAAAAAGAATTTATTAAAATTCAAGATATAAGTGACAAAGATGTCGTAAATTAAAACGTTTAGAGAAAGATTTCGATAGTTCGAAGCACGAAAGAAACCCTG